AATACCTGGAGACGTTGAACAATTGCAGTGTCCTGCCCTCATACTCCCCCACCCCTGGACCATTTAATCATCATCTGTAGGCGTGAGACCCAGGCATCAGTAGTGTTTAAAGCTCCCCAGGTGATTCCAGCAGGCAGCCAATATTGAGAACCATTGGTCTACCTTTTCTCCCTGTGCCCCTGGGAAAATAGGACATATGGGACAAGCATGACAAGCCCAATCCCTGTTCTAGGCCTCATTTATTCCGTAAATTTTTATTGAACATCAGTTTTATGACAGGCAATGGACTACATGCTGAGGATAAGCAGGGAACAGGAAAAGAAGGCTAACTGGGAGACTGTTTTGGTGCTTATAATGCTGGACTTCTTATACATGCTTCCCACATTCCAGCCCAGGGCCCGACTCCTCCTGGCTGCAAAGGTGGGCCTTCTGAAGCAGTGCTGCAGGCCTGGCAGCTCTGTTCTGACATCATCCTCCATCTTTCTAGGACCCTTGGAAAACCTCATTCTTGCTTTTGTGCATCTCACTGTTTTTTTGACTCCCTGAGTACTTAGAAAACTTATTCATACATCCCAGCCTTCACTGGAAAAAGGAAAATCTAGGGTTTTTTTCCCTTCATGTGCCAACTTTCCCTTCTCCGTCTCTCTGTGTCTTTCCCTCCCTGGGTTGAGAGTCATTTATGATCTTCCCAATCTGTGGAATATGTTCCTCCAGGCTCAGCATCATGTTCTTTTTCTGTGTTGTGACAGGCAATCCTTACTAGTCAGCCACAGTTACACAGGAACGTTGCTTAAGATCTGCTCATGAAAAGTGAGGTCCATGGACCTACATAATTGGTGTCACCTAAGCTCTTCCTTGAAATGCAGAATCTCAGGCCACGATCCAGACTTACTGAGTTAGAATCTGCGTTTAAACCTTATCCCCAAGCAATCCACATGCATGTTACAGTTTGAGATAATCTTAGGGAAGTTTTTTTTTTTTTTTACATCATTATTGGAGTACAATTGCTTTACAATGGTGTGTTAGTTTCTGCTTTATAACAAGGTGAATCAGTAATACATATACATATGTTCCCATATCTCTTCCCTCTTCTGTCTCCCTCCCTCCCATCCTCCCTATCCCACCCCTCTAGGTGGTCACAAAGCACCAAGCTGATCTCCCTGTGCTACGTGGCTGCTTCCCACTAGCTATCTACCTTACGTTTGGTAGTGTATATATGTCCATGCCACACTCTCACTTTGTCACAGCTTACCCTTCCCCCTCCCCATATCCTCAAGTCCATTCTCTAGTAGGTCTGTGTCTTTATTCCCGTCTTACCCCGAGGTTCTTCATGACATTTTTTTTTCTTAGATTCCATATACATGTGTTAGCATACGGTATTTGTCTTTCTCTTTCTGACTTACTTCACTCTCTATGACAGACTCTAGGTCCATCCACCTCACTACACATAACTCAATTTCGTTTCTTTTTATGGCATGGGCAGAAGACCTAAATAGATATTTCTCCAAAGAAGATATACAGATTGCCAACAAACACATGAAAGGATGCTCAACATCACTAATCATTAGAGAAATGCAAATTAAAACTACAATGAGGTATCACCTCATACCGGTCAGAATGGCCATCATCAAAAAATCTAGAAACAATAAATGCTGGAGAGGGTGTGGAGAAAAGGGAACACTCTTGCACTGTTGGTGGGAATGTGAATTGATACAGCCACTATGGAGAACAGTATGGAGGTTCCTTAAAAAACTAAAAATAGAACTACCGTACAACCTAGCAATCCCACTACTGGGCATATACCCTGAGAAAACCATAATTCAAAAAGAGTCATGTACCAAAATGTTCATTGCACCTCTATTTACAATAGCCAGGACATGGAAGCAACCTAAGTGTCCATTGACAGCTGAATGGATAAAGAAGATGTGGCACATATATACAATGGAATATTACTCAGTCATAAAAAGAAATGAAATTGACTTATTTGTAGTGAGATGGATGGACCTAGAGTCTGTCATACAGAGGGGAGTAAGTCAGAAAGAGAAAAACAAATACCATATGCTAACACATATATATGGAATCTAAAAAAAAAAAAAAATGGTTCTGGATAACCTAGGGGCAGGACAGGAATAAAGATGCAGAGGTAGAGAATGGACGTGAGGACACGGGGATGGGGAAGGGTAAGCTGGGATGAAATGAGAGACTGGCATGGACATATATATACTACCAAATGTAAAATAGATAGCTAGTGGGAAGCAGCCACATAGCACAGGGAGATCAGCTCAGTGCTTTGTGACCACCTAGAGGGGTGGGATAGGGAGGGTGGGAGGGAGATGCAAGAGGGAGGAGGTATGGGAATATATGAATAGCTGATTCATTTTTTTATAAAGCAGAAACTAACACACCGTTGTAAAGCAATTATACTCCAATAAAGATGTTAAAAAATAATAATAAGTTAAAAAAAATAAAGCTAAGGAAGTAAAATATATAGAGTATTAAATGGTGGTAAGAGCCATGGAGAAAAATTAAGCAGGAACGAAAGATGGGGAAAACAGAACAAAACAAAATTCAAGTGAAATCACTTTCTTGGTTCTCAGTCAGAATGCTGGCTCTGTACTACTTTTGCAGAAGCCGCACCAGGAAGACCCATGCTCCAAATTTTTCATTTTTTAAAAAATTTGGCCATTCTGGCTGAGCTGAAAATCTCCCATTGAAATAGATTCTAAAATATAGTGTTTTTTCCTAAATATTTAAGCTACTCATAGAATAATTTGAATATAATTTATGTGTGACCTTAACTGAAATCTGACCTAATTCTAACCTCTCTTCCATTCTGTTGCCTGAGTGGCTTTTAAAAAATAGACCTGGTTATGTTACTGTACTACTCAAAAAGTCTTCAACAATTTGAAATCAATGTCCTTAACTTGGCACTCAGTACTCCCACAAATCTGGCCCCAGACTACTCTCTGGTTCTAACCTTGCCTAAAGGTCCCGTGGTGCCCATCTTCATATCTTTGTTCACCCTGTCTCTTCTGAGAATGCCCTGTCCACTTCATGTCTGCCTTTCGAAACCTAACTCATTTTTACACCCCAGCTCAAATGCTACCTCCTTCATGGGGCATCCCCAGTCCCCACCTTAACCCCTCTCTCATCCTAGTTTTACTTATTCCCTGTTATTTTACTTCTTCCCCACTCTGTGCTTCCAAGAACTTCATATCATTGCCACAGCATTAATTACACCTTTCCTTGTGTTAGCAAATGTTTGGGAAGTAATAGTGAATAGTGCCTAAGGAAAAGGAATACAGACTTTTGAGCCAGACTAGACCTGAGTCAAAACCCTGACTCTTAGGCAGGTCATTTAACTTTTCTGACTTTCAGTTTCCTCATCTGTGAACAGAAGAAAATAGTACCAAATCTGCATGGACTGGTAGGGGAGAGCATATGAGAATATGCAGTAAAGGTCTTTAATAAGGGGTAGCTATTATTACCACAGTTATTCATATCCTGTCCCCAACTAGTTCATCAGCAGTACCTAGCAACATCTTACTCTCTATAGTGTTTTCTGGATTGACTGGAAGCAACCCAAATTGATGGCATCTGCTGCCTGGATCTCACTGAGCTATTAGTTTTCCAACATCTGTTTTGAATTTCAGAAAGAAATGTCCATTTTTAGGCAACAGCAGTGTTTTCCTGTGGCATTTCAATATGTCTTAATCCTGAAATGATTATAACTTGTGCTTGATTGAATCCAAGTCAGCAAAGTCATGGAGAACAGCCCAGCCCACAAGCACATCCACTTTACGTAGGCCTAAGAAAGCACAGCCCTCTGTACAAAGAGCCCAAACACCAAGGAACACTATATCAGCTTTTAGTGACATTGCCCTTTGTTCAGATGTTTAAATGATGACAATAATAGAGCTTGAGAAGCTCTTATTTATCCACAATACTGTGAGACAGAGAGAGTGTAGAAATCCTGGTTTTCTTTGATGTCTAGAGTACTGGTAACTACTCAAGATGTTATAATGACAATTATTGACTCCCTTCTCTTGACTCCCAATTCCCTTATAAACTAAAAAAAGAAAAGAAAAGAAACACCACAATTTTCTCCAGTAGTTTCTAAATTATTTCCTATGGAAAGCAGAATTTTCTAAACTACCATGCTTTATGAATCCTGTCTCTGTTTCAGCACCAAGGACAGAACCCCGCCAGGCTTGATGCCCACCCATCCCATTTAATTAAAAAAAATTTTAATGTTTTAAAATTTCTGCTCAGATATTTATTCGATCATCTAATATATTGGTTTTCTGAACACTGGTTATATGTCAGGCCTTGATATGGTATACAAAGGCTTACAGTTCTCAAGGTTGAACTGAGGCAGGAGATAAGCAAGAAAGGCAAGTTAATAAATATAACACCATATGACAGGTGCTGTTACGGAGTTATGTACAAGCCATGTGGGAGCCAGGGGAGGGAGTGATTAACTCTGACTAGTAAAGGAAGGCTTTTCAAAGGAGTTGACATTTGAGCTGGGTACTGAGAATTGAGTGAAGTTTGTAATGCAGAGAAGAGACTCCATGAAAAAGTACAGAGCATATTAAGAAATTTCTAGAAATGTGGTTTGATGTGGCTGAAAAATTGAGTGAGTGAAAGATTAAGGGAAGAGATAAGGAATAGGCTAGGTCAGATCACCAAGTACTTGTATACCAAGCTAAGGGTTTAGGCTTTATCCTGGGGAAGTTAAGAGCTGTGTAAGGGTTTTGAGCAGAGGCACGATCTAATCAGATTTGTGGGTTAGAAAGATACTTCATACAGAAAGAGAGAAAATATACTAAAAAATAAATAAATGAGAGGGCAGAAGGGCAGATGACGGTGACATTCCTCCACGTGGTTCTGGAATGAGGGCTCACTCCATCATAATCAGGATTAGACACGGAGAATTTACTTGGCCCAGCTCCCATTCACTGTTCACCATGTTTCACATATGGATTATGTCTCTCCAGATTCTTCCAAGAAGATAAATGATGTCTTGGCTGAATTTAATGAGGGTGGGAGCCTCAAACAATATGACCCACATGAGGTAAGAACATTTTCATTTCAAGCCTTTAAAAACCCCACGTTCTAACCTTCCCATAATTTGTTCCTCTCTTAGAAGTTTAGCTCACTTTGAAGAACATGCTTCTCAACATATTTTCTCCCAAGTTTCAAGTGAGCCATTGGTGCTACCTGGAATCATAAGTTCCTCAAGTCCATTCACCTTCTCACTATCCTAGAAGGCCACATCATACCTTCTCTTCTCTCCTCAAATCTCTCACTCCTCCTCCCTTTCTCAATTCCCAGTTATCAACTGTGTTTTCTACATCACTGAGAAAATAGAAACAGTCAGAAGCAATCTTCCCCCAAATCCTCACCTTATGTGCCCACCTAGCTGTACCTTTTCTCCTGTAATTAGGGACAAGCTTTCTATGCTCTGATCTCAGTCTAACCCCTCCACTTGTGTACTCAGTCCCGTCCTCTTTGGTCTATTGACAGGCATTGCTTCAACAACGTATTCCTCTCTCACTCTGACTCCATCTCCTTCCCATCAGCTTTCTCTATGTATTAGATCTTCCTTATCAACAAATAAACATACTGCTCTTTCTCCTACATTAAAAAACCTTTTTCTGGCTCCACTTCTCTCTCCAGCTACCACCTCATTTCTCTCCTGTCCTTTATAACAAGTAAGCTGTGCAAAAGATGTGTCTATACTCATTGCCTCCAATTTCTCCTCTTCCCACTTTTCTGAAAGCTCTTCAAGCAGCATGTAACCCCCACGCCTACACTAAAATCACTAGTCAAAATAGCCAAGGACCTGCATGTGGCTAAAACTCAAGTCATTTTACTCAACAGCATTGCACCTGATTGGTCAAATCCTCCTCCACTTCCTTCACTTGGTTTTCAGGACACTATACGCTTCTGATTTTCCTCTTACCCCTTTACTTGACATTTCCACTTAAAAATCAAATAGGTATCTCAAACTTAACATAAGCTAAACGGAGCTCCTTGATCTTCCTCTCTAAAACCTATTTTTCCAGCAGTCTTTCCCATTTCAGTAAATGACAAGTCCAGTCTTCAAGTTATTCAGCCTAAAACTATGGAGTCATCATTGACTTTTCTCTTTTTCTCACATCCCACATCTAATTCATCAGCCGCCTCCATCATTTCTACCTTCGAAATACATCCAAAATCCAGACACATCTCACTACCTGCTCTGCTATCACCCTGACCTGAGGCACCACCATATTTTGCCCAGATTATTGCAATAGTCTCCTCTTAGGCTCCCTGTTTTTGCTCTTGACCTTGAAAGTCTATTCTTTACACACATCCTGAGCAGTCTGTTAAAACTGAAGTCAGATGGTGTCACTGCTGTTTTCCACAATCATTTATGGTCTGCCCACCTGGTACTCAGAGTCAAAATCAAGGTCATTACAATCTGCATCTCCCCTACTATCGGACCATTACAATCTGCATCTCCCCTACTATCGGACCATTACAATCTGCATCTCCCCTACTATCGGACCTCATATCTTGCTATTCTTCTTCCCATTTTTTCCCAGCCATATTAGCCTCCTTGATGCCTTCATACAAGCCAAGGCTGCTCTACCCTTAGCACCTGTGCTCATGCTCTGGCCTCTTCCTGCAATGTTCCTCCCCCAGATATCCATATCATTCATTCCTTCACTTCCTGCAAGTGTTTGCTCAAATCACCTTCTCAGTGAATGTCACATTCTCTATCTAAAATGTTAAACCCTCTTTCCTGACGCTTCCTGTCTTCCTGCTCTGCCTTATTTTCCTCCTTAGTGCTTCTCACCATCTGTCACACTGTATAACTTACTTATTTCATTGTCTATCTCCCCGACTAGAATAGTTTTGTTCACTGCTGTGTCCCCAGTGCCCAGAAGAGTATCTGGCTTATAGCAGGCACTCCACAAACATTTGCTGAATGAATAAGTGCATGCAAGACCTCCCCTACTTTCAGATTCAGCTCATCTAATGTTTCTTGAGCATCCAGGCACTGTGCTGGATGCCGTAGAAGATATGAAGATGAGGAAGCATAGTTCCTCTCCTCCAGTACTTACTTCCTACTGGCAGGGCCAAGTTTAAGAGCCATGACCCTGGAGGTTATGCTGTTAGGTTAGACTCCTAGCTTTGCTGCAAACCAGCAATGTGGCCTTGAATATTTCACCTCTCTGGGCCTCAGTTTCCTCTTCTGTGAACTGAATATATAAAACAACCAAAAAGAAAGACCTTGAAGCTTGCAGATGAGTGAATTAAATAAGATGCTTTTTGCAAAATGTCTAACACTTTTAGGACACTTAAAAATAGTGCCCATTATTATTACCCTTCTGTTACCTTTCGCCAAAATGTTTTAAACTCAACTCCCTTTTCCCCGGTCCTGGGTCCTTTTATAAGGGCTAATAGCAGAAAAGCAACTGATCAGCAGGACAAACTTGGAAGGAGGCTGGCCGCTTATTTATTCATATTGTCATCCTTTCAACAAACCTTGTGTCAACTCCTTCTCTTCTGGGCCCTGGAAGTGAATCAACAGAGCCCACACCCTCGAGGTACACCTGAGAGGTGCTTTGAATAAAATGCACTGATCACCTGAGAATGAAGCAGGAGGAAGGGTGCCAGAACAGGAGCCAGATTGAGAATGCACCCTTTCAAAGAACATTCCTGAGGAGGAACCATGTGGAAATGATGCCAAAGCCAGCAAAGAACTTGCAGCCCCCCAGTCCCCACCCCCACCTCCAAAAACACAGGAGCAAAGACTGGCAGGGACTTCTCCTCCGCCTGTCTGCCCTGAAGCTGACGAGAGTGGGAGAGGAACAGTTTGGTCAGGGCTGCCGAGGGTGTGAAGGCCGTAGGAGCTTTCAGAAGCAGGCCCCTGCCTCCATCAGGCTGGCCCCCGCTCTGCCATGTCCTAGGGGAGCTCCGTCACTCTGATTTCATTCCCTCTCACAGTGTGGCTGGCTTCAAGTAGGTATAATGTCCCAGCATGGGGTTCAGAAACAACAAGGGTTTAAATTCTCTTGAGTTTGATGGCTTACTGCTGCTAAAATGTCTCAACAAGAAATGAGTTAGCTGTGGGAAGGGGCAGGTTGCTAGGAAAGGGTGGCTGGGAATAAAAGTTTACAGAGTGGCAGGGCTCCGTCTGGCCACGACAAGCGTGCCCTTGCCCATCGGCACCGAGTGATTCTCTGGAGAAGAGAGCACAGCTGAAGATGGCCAGAAAGCAGACGGAAACAGTGCAACCAAAAAGGCAGGGGGGCCTGGTATCACCATGATCTTAGACTCAGGCACACCTTAGCACAAAGCACAGCTCTGCCACTTGCTTTACGACTTGAGCAAGTCATTTATGTTCTCAAAATTTTTTTCATCCACAAAAGGGCAGTAATAGTACCACGTCACACTGTTGTTTTGAGACTTAAGTAAGATCACGTATGTACAATGCTCAATAAACTCTCCATCTAGTTCTCCTTCCTTCTTTGACCTGTGGAAGAATTAACAATTGCCTAGCTAGTTTCCACATGAAAGTTGCAGTTTCTGGGGAAAAAGAAAAAATGTCTGAACAATGGCAGTGTCTAAGATGTTACTCAGGGCTCTGAGAGTTGTCAGCGTGCTACATAGTGGTTGTTTATCTGGTTTGGGCAGAGTATGGGCCACTCCCTACCCATCACACATGTGCCAAGCACCTACCCTGAGCCTGGCCTGTGCTCATAAGGAACTTACTCTTTTGCAATCCAGATATCACTTTGAGAGTGGCCCTCAGTCACATTTCCTTGCCTACTGAACTTGGGGTGCTTAGAGGGAATGGCAGGGAACACGATGTCAGCACCAGGGCCTGGGACAGATCAGATACTAGAGCAGGAGCATTGGACTAGGTGTCAGACGATCAGGCTTCTGGTTTCGCTTTGATGCTAGCTGGCTGGGGCAAATCAGTAAAATTCCAGAGTCTCAGTGATGTAAGGAGATCTAGTCTCCTCTGAGCTCTTCTGACATGAATGCTCTGTGTTTCTGGGCTTATTTTATGCCATTTTGTTCCCCAGGATAGGGCCATAAATGGTTGGACATGTGTTCAATCATCATTGTTTTCTAAGTTCTCATAATAGTTTGTCAGTTCTTCTGCTGTGACACTCACCACTGTTGACCCTGTGTTAGAATTATTTCAATACTTTTCCCACTGAGTCTCTTAAAGGTATGAACTCATGCCTAATTCACTGGTGTGTTCTCCAGTGGTGCCCAGCACTGTGTCTTGTACTTGGGAGACTCAGTACATATATGTTGACTGAACAGACCCCACAATGATTGATGACAGCCAAGTGTACCAACTAGAAACCCAACGTCCATTAAAATACCTATTAGGAAATACCGTGCTAGGTGGTGTGGAGGATACAAAGATGAAATAAGACATTTCCCTACCTTCCAGGAGCTCTAGATCTAGTCGAGGAACTAAGGTGTGTATGTCATGAACAACTATATATTGCGAGGGCAGCAGATATGGGTGTCCCAAGTCAGGAACCAACGTGGAAAGGTATAGCAATTCAGGCACAAGAGATCATACCAGGCTTCCTGGAAGGGGTGGCATCTGAGTTGGGCCATAAAGGATAGCTGGAATTTTAACAGGTAGAGAAGAAAACAGTTCATTTAAGTACATGGAAGCTTGGCCAGGAAAGGACACAGAGATCAGTGTGGGCAGAATGTGAAGGTACACACAGAGAATTGTAGGAGAAAAGACCAGAATGGTCTCCGAACTTGAAGTAGCTACAAATCTAGGTTGGAGTGGGATTGTGGTAGGGCTGTGAATCCCAAAGGATTCAGGGAGTGCACAGGATGAGCCACTGGACTGTAGGAATCCTGCATATTAGACTTTCTATTTACATTGATTTTTATCTCATCTAATTTCTATTTTCTAATTTCTTTTGTGTGTCTTTTATAATGTATAGTAGCGGAGCACAGTAGTACATATATATAATGTATAAGTAAAGATAAATGACAATGTGTGCTTGAAAATCTTACAGAAGGGCGCATGGTTTTAAAAGTTTGGAGACAAGTGATGTCAACTCTCCCATGGGCAATTAGAAGCCATGGAAAGTTTTTTAGTTGGGAAGCAGTCTGATCAGAGCTGTGCTTTGGGAAGATCACCTTGGCAAGGATGGAAAAGATGAGAGGACTAACAGATGGAGGTGGAGGCAAGGAAGCCTTTGAGGGGTGTTGCTGTTGTCCAGGTAGGACACATGGAACAGGAGTAGAAAACCAGGAGCATGGGGGACTTCAACAGCCGCCTTGTCAGGGTGGGGCCGACGGGCAATGGATACAGAAAAGACCTGGATATGACAGACGTTGCGAAAGAACAGTGGAAAGAAGGAAGGGACAAGAATTGATCTCAGACAACTGGGAGTTCAAGCTGAGGCTGGAATATTTGGAGGATAATGCTGCCATTGACATGAATAGAAACTGTAGGGTCAGGAAGAGGAACTGGTTTAAGGAAGAACCCAAGAGAAGTTTAGAGCTTGAGATCTTCTGGTCCAGCATTCACAGTTTGCTAAAGAAAAACCTGAGGTTCAAAAAAGGAGGAAAATGTGGTGGACCTCAGACCAGCCACGAGGTCTCCTGAATCTCACACTGATCTTGTTTGAAGATCTTTCAGCTTTGGTTTTTTAAGAGCATTATGTAAGACTTTGTTTAACTGAATTTCCTTTTTTATTAAATCATTTAGTATACGCTGTTTTCCAGAAATATGCTGATAGTTTTCAATTTGAGGCCAACCAGAAAAAAAATTAACATTTTGGAACTCAAAACTATATTGTAAAACAGTACTTGTCGATTAAAATAGTGCAAAGGAAAGGACGATGCAAAAAGAGCCTTTTAAAATAAATTAATAATAAAGATTGAGAAGATCTAAAACAAAGACCATTGAATTTGTGACCTTCAAGAGAGCAGATTCAGAGGTGATGCACTAGAATCCAAATCGAATGGATTAAGGAGGTGAGGAGAAGTGTGAAGGGGAAGGGAAGAAGCACAGGCTAATAGCTCGAGCAGACAGCAGTTTCTTTGGAAGAGTGACCCGAACGTGCTTGCAGGTAGACAAGCAGGTGTTGGGAGATGCCATCAGAGGCAGGGAGGGTGGAATTGCAGGTCATTATGGGTTCCGCTGGGAAAGTGGGAGGAAAAGACTTTGCTGATGTGTACTGGGAAAAAGAGGATGTGTGTGGAAGGGACATTCTGAGGTGTTGAGGCAGTGGAGACAGAGAGGGACAGAAAGAGTACAAGAGAGAGCCACAGAGATTCTGGGGCAGGAAAGGCAGAGAAATAGAGATTGATGCCTGTCGCAAGAAATGTAAGTCCACCATTTGCTTAGAGATGCCTTCATCTGGTAATGAGCCTTCATTATCCTCTGTCCAACTGAATCAGGCTTCCTTCACTCTGCTAAAGAGATGTTTAAATAGCCCAGCCTGGGGCTAAGGAGAAACTGCCCCGCAAGCTCCCTCCCAGTGGGGTCCAGAGGGCATTGCTTGTTTTAAGGACCAGGACTTTGTATCCAAAACCTGATCGTGCACGTGCCAGCCAACTCTGGTTCTGCGAAGGCTCCCAGATCTCCCAGAAGAGACAAGGGGTTAAATGCTACCAACATTTTCAGAGAGAGCCAAGTAGGCTCCCAAAAAGGGATTTTATCGCTATTATTCACAAAAGCCTGCACAGCAGATCTTGGAGGAGCGCTTCCTCAGATGATTTCCAGGAGCATCTGCTGATTTGATGAAGAATCTGATGCCATCAAAGCACAAGCCAGTGATGACTCACTGCGCACTGTTGTTGCCGAGTGTTTGCTGAGTGCAGCAGCCCTTTCTGGCACAGTTCTCCCAACCTGGGACCAGAAGCCAGGCAGCACTGGGCGACATACAGCAGGGAGAGGTTTTGGCATGTTTCTTGGTTTTACCTTCCGTCCTTGGCTTCCTGCTCTTCTCTCCTGGTGCCTGAAACCTTCACAAGGACATGTTTTGAGAGCAGTCGAGCCTGACACACTCCCTCCCCTGGTATCTTGAGGGTTGTCCAAAGAAGGTCAATTATGAAAGTAATGAAAGACGGAGCCTGTTCTTTTTTCTTTTCTGAGACCTGAATCCTCAGGAATCACATCCCTCACGGCATAAGCAGAAAATTGACATACCGCAGAAGAGCGATTTCTTCTTGTGTTTTCAACTACATCCTTCTTCATCCTTTTTTTTTTTTTTTTTTTTGCGATACAGTTCATTTATGATATTATATTGGTTTGAGGTAAACAGCATAGCGATTCAATATTTTTATAGATTACACTCCATTTAAAGTTATGACAGAGTGATGGCTATATTTCCCTGTGCCGTACAATATATCCTTGTTGCTTTTTATTTTATACATAGTAGTTTGTATCTCTTAATCCCATACCCCTGTCTTGTCCTCCCTGCCTCCCTCTCCCTACCATTCTTCTTCATCTTACCTAGGATTCCAGGGCACTGACCTAGTCCTGCCCATTAGAGACAAGACCCCCATGTGGTCCCCGACTCAGGCAGAGCCCTCACTCCCAGTGCTCAGTCTTCAGCACCCCCTTTTCTTCCTAAACTTAGACATGCCTTGTCACGAAAGCCTCCCATGGTTCCATGGCCCACCAAGCCCCAACACACAACCAACAGCGTCTTCTCTTCCTCACGTCCTACCCCCACTGCCTATGCTTTTCACCCTCTATCGACTCCCAGGCCTTTTCATTCCTGCCCCCACCAATCACTCTACTCCCTTCTGCTTCCCTTTCCATTGCCAGCTCCCCCATTCCTTCTTCTCCTCTCCCACCCTCTGTCTCTTCACTTCTCTCCACTGACTTTTCCCTCTTTATCCCTTCTCAGCCTATTAGTTATGACATCTTCAAGCTGTTCATGAGGGCGTACCTGGAGGTGGACCTTCCACAGCCACTGAGCACACACCTCTTCCTGGCCTTCAGCCAGAAGCCCAGACAGGAGACCCCGTCCCACCCAAAGGAGGGGGCCAGCAACAGCGAAGCCAGTGGCCCAGGTACATGGACCAGCATTCCCCAAGATGGAAGGGAGATTTTGCAGCTCTAATCCACTTGCCACAGGTTCAGCCTGCACTCCTAGATGGTCCTCTGTGCCTGGTAACTTCCCTATGGGGAAGAGGGGGAAACAGAGACCAGGGGACCAAGACTCCTACCCTTTCAGGAAGCCCTGTCTGATGGATCTCTCAGTAAGAGAAATAAAAAGGGCATAATTCCTGCCACTCAGGATCAGAGGAGAGGATGGGGAGAAGAGGAGGAACGAACTAATGTATGGCAGGGGCGGGTGGGCCTTCCACAAAAGCTGCCAGTCCCTGGAGAGCACATTCAGCTCTTGTGCCCAGGCTGGGACTAGCCTGGGAGAGTCACAGGAGGGGAAGGGTGTGGTTACTGTCTTTCTGGAGTTTGGGCTATAATGGGGGAGACACTACCAACCCCAATAAGTGAGCATGAACCCAGCTGACACCAGAGACATGGGCATAACCCAAGAGATCCAGACTTTGTGGGAAAGTCTTCTACCTGCCTCTCTAAAAACCTAGAGGGCATGGGCTGGTCACTACATCTTCTTTTTGTTCCCCAGATTCCAACATACAGAATGCAGATAATGCTGCCAAAGCAGACGAGGCTTGTGCCCCTGACATGGGTAAGTCTTCGGGGGAGGAGTGGGCAGTACCCCATCCTTGGGGAAGGGGGAGAATCTAACCAGCAGTTTTGTCTCCATGTAATTGTATGCCTTTGAGCAGATCTTGTCTGCCTCCACCTCTGGGGCCCCTGACGCTCCATTGTGTTGGGATTCTGAGGCTGGATGAAGGTTCTTGCTTCATTTGTCCCAAAACAGGGCAGGTCAGGACTTCGGTCAGCTCATTAGATGTTTACCTCTGACGGGTCTGCCTAGCCAAAGAGGGGAAAAGGAGAAAGTGTACGGTGAGGGGAGGGGTGGGCAGAGGAAAAGAGAGAGACAGAGAGTGTATGGGAAGAAATGGCCATAGGGCTGAGGTGGAGATGACGCTACCAGTGAATGGCTGAAGGGGGTTATGGAAAGAGGGTAAGAGTGTGCTCTGGTTGATTTCCCACAATATTTACATGCACTTGTTTGAACAAGTTGAGAGGAGCAAGAGGAAGCCAGCTAATGTTGTTTTGAAGATCTATTTGCCAGGTACCTGCTTTATTGCATGTTTCACCTTAGCCTTTGTAATCATGCCACGTCACACACTGAGGAGCTGAGGCTGTAAGAGATTACATACCACTGTGCGAGCTGAGGAGCTAGGGATTCAATCCAGAATTGTCCATCCTCCAAGCTGCTGCTCTTTCCTGCACCAAGATAGGAAGCAATGGTCTGTCTTGAGGTGCCTGGACTAAGGTTTGTCTCCACGTAAAGGCACCAATTTGGTTAGGTCCTAGTGGAATGATCAAGGCTGCATTCCCAGTGGAGCAGCCATCATGATGCCTGGCTGTCCGTGCACCGTCTCTTGGGTCGTGACTGATGTGGAACCTTCCCTGGCACATTTATCAATGGGCGGCCATTCCTCTGTTGAGAGGCTGTTGACAGGCACAGTCCCAAGTGCAGAAGCTCCTAGTAAAACTGGAAAGAGCAAAGATTATCCTCCTTGACCTCTGTTCTAAGATGTAGCACAAATTTCCTGGACACTATCAACCTAAGCTGGGTCAGGTAATAAGCATATTGGTTAAGAATCTGGACTTCAGAGACTTCCTGGGTTTGACACCCAGCTCTGACAACACCTAGCTCTGAAACCTTCGGTATGTTTGAACAATGTCTCTGTGCCTCAGTTTCCCCATCTGTAACATGAGATGACAGTAAGTGTTGATATGAAGGTTAAGTGAGTTATGTGTGTAAAAAGCTTAGTATAGTGCCTGGAACAGAGTAAATGTTCAGTAAATATTAGCAGTTATTATTCAGGCCACCCTCTAGAAGTACACTCTATTCTCAACTCATCATGTCTGCCAAGATCTCCTTCAGTCTGCACCCTCAGTCTCCAATTGTGTCAGATGGGCATCCTCTTCTCATGGAAGGACTCTCAGGGACTGTCTCCCTCCCAGGTTGCTCTTGGAGCTTCACATACAAAGACTCAGAGAGACAGACGTTATTTCCTTTGCATTATTGTTTGGAAAAGATTGATGCACATTGGTGAATTTCAGCTCTTGGGATGTGCCCAGGGGATAAAGATGCAGTTTTCTTGTATCTTTCAATATATATTATATACATACATACACACATGGCAGAATAGGTAAGAGATAATACAACTGAATGAGAACTAATTGTAACAGAGACTTAGGATGAGAGAATTTCTTCGAGTGGGTGATAGATGTAGTTCTCATCTTTTTTCCAGTCATTGCTGAAAGGGCAACTAGAGGATTATAGAGTTTTCAGTGTGTAACTGAAAGACTGATGAGATCAAAAATTCACTCTGAATGGAAAGCAGAACATGGTTGGGAAAGGAGAATTGCCTCAGGACCATAAGCTCAGCAAAATCCAGACTTCTCATAGAGCTCCAGAAAGCAAGGATTAAGAGTATTGGTGCCTTCCTGAGTTCTTCAGGGACAGCAGCAGGGCAAGACTGTGCAAAGTATAGGCTCACCCACCCCTCTGCCCAGCATCTCACCCACGCGTGCTAGGTCTAGGGCCCTTTGGTCAAATGGATTAAAGTCATAAATAAGTCTTAAATCTTATTGGGAATAGAGAGGGCATTTTATGACATAAATCATTCTCATGGTAGAAAGAATAGTTTCAAACTGGAAGCTTTGAGATGATTCTAAACTCTCAGCAAAAAAATCAAAGAAAAGCATCTTTTTCTTTACCCAGATTCTTTACCAGAGATGTTCTTAGTCCAAGTATCTGGAACTTCAAGAGGAACCTGAGAGAAAGTTACACTTCATTCCCTGAGGTTCCAAATTGTCTGGGCAGAGTTTGTTTCAGTGGCTGAAGTTTCCAAGGTACCAAACAAGGACTTAGTGGGGATCCTGTCATTATGTGATATTTGAGAAAAGATAATGAATGATGATAATAGACCTTGGCTGGCTTATTTGACCACCATGTTTATTTGCGATATCTGTATCATTTGGGGTCTCAGAACAACTTCCAGAGACTTGCTCCTGGAGAAGTGATTTGTCATGCACTGTTTTCCCGTGCATGCAGCATATCAGTCTCCTGTGGTCCAGTCATGAAAGGGCAGTTATCTGACTGCTGGCCCAGGGAGATGTACAGAATTTTTTCACCCTCTTTTGTAACTTGTGATGTTAAGTAGCAAATCCTTCTCCTGTTGGGCCACCTTCCATGAATGTCTTAATTAGATGCCCCTATTCACCAAAAACAAGAATGTAGGGACAGGTGGACACCACAGAGCAGGGCCTCTGCCAACAAGGAAGAGCCAAGTTCTGGAAACACCTTAGATCAGGCCATCTGTTGAAAATTCCACGCTTTTCCTGTTGCCCAAGAAGAAGAAACTCTATTCTCATTTGATATGGCTGTTTGTGCCTATCAGATCAAGCTCCAAGCTCAGATCTAGAACAACCCACTTTAAGTTATTCATTCCCAGAGCCAGGTGGGGGCATGGCTGGGTCCATAAGCACAGCAGACAGGGGTTTCACTGAGTCCAGAGGTCGGCTCAGAGCATTGAGCAACATGTCATTGTCAGGATGTCAGCTCAGGAAGGGCTGAAATCACCCTTCCCTGAATGCCCATGAAAAGGTGGGATAAACAATGTGAACTTCATTCTCCTGGTTTTTATTTAGTTCCTCAGGCTATTGAGATGGTTGGACTGTTGGAGCCTCAAGGAAAGTCCCTCCATTTTTTTTAATATATTTTTCCAGTTTTAAAAGTAACACATTGTATCAATAAAAAATTTTCTGAGGAGTACAGAAAAACTAAAGAAACAACAAAATCACCTAAATCTACCAATGTGATCACACACACACACACACACACACACACACACACACACACACACACAC